TGTTTGCACACGGAAGTGGCACCGTCCCCGTGTGTCCCCGTGTCCCGTCCCGGCGGGGCCTCCTCCCGGCTGGCACAGCAGGTAGGGAGGGCAGGGATCAGGGATGGAGCCCCCCCCAGCCCGTGGCATGGGTAGGATGGGTGCTGGGAGTGTCCCCCACACAGGGTGGGCACCCAACGGGGACCCCAGGTGTGTCTGTGTGGGGACACGGGGTCCCCTGGGCCTGGCACGGACAGTGTCCTGTGTCCATGGGGACACACAGGCCCTGCTGCTGCAGCAGGGGCCCATTGGGGTTGGGATCAGGGGGTCTCCATAGAGACGGGGCTCTGTAGGTCCCCATGGCCCCATAGGAATAGGAATAGAGGGGTCTCCTTAGGGACAGGATGCTGGGGGTCCCCATTGGGATCAGGACTGGGGGGTCTCCTTAGGGACCAGTCCCTGTGGCCCCATAGGGACAGGACTCTGGGGCTCCCCATGGCCTCATAGGGACAGGTTTCTGGAGGTTCCCATGATCCCATAGGGGTGGGACTCTGGGGGTCCCCATAGGGATCAGCCTCTGGGGTCTCCATGACCTCATAGGGAAAAGCTCTGGGGGTCTTCATAGTGGTCAGGCTCTGGGAGGTCCCCATTGCCCATAGGGACTGGGCTCTTGGGGTCCCCATGGCCCCAGAGGGGTGGGGCTCTGGAGGGTCCCCATAAGGACACTCTCTGGGGGTCCCCACAGCCCCCCACAGCCCAGGCCTTGCTCTCCTGACCCCAGTCCCTGCCCCGTGTCCCTGTGGCTGTGGTGATGGGATGGGGGCAGCCCCCCACGTCCCATGACCAAATCCTGCTCCACCCCACACCCAGCATCACTCCCATCCCCCCAGGTGACACCACCTCTGGAAGGACCCCAGGATCCATCAGGGGGTGACACCAGGTCCTGACCGGGCATTTTGGGGTGCAGGGAAGGAAAGGAGAGAACATCCATGGGGTTCCAACCCTCCCTGTCACCCCTGTCACCGCAGACCCCGCCGTGCTGGGATGGCCCCGGATGCCTGAGCCCCCCTGGCCCCTCCCCAGCCATGGAGACTGTGGTCATCGTGGCCATCGGGGTGCTGGCCACCATCTTCCTGGCGTCCTTCGTGGCGCTGGTGGTGGTGTGCAGGCAGAGGTACTGCCACCCCAAGGACCTGCGCCACCACTATGACACCAAGTGAGTGACAGCGCCAGGGAGGGACCTCAACGGGCCCCACGGGCTGGGGACAGGGCTGGGGACATGTCCGGCAACATCAAGGGGACAGTGCCGGGGACAGGTCCTGGGGGGGATGATGCAGGGGACACGTCCACTGTCACTGGGGGGACGATGCAGGGGACATGTCCAGCATCATCAGGGGGACAATGAAGGGGACACGTCCACTGTCATTGTGGGGATGAAGCTGAGGACACATCCAGCATCATCAGGGGGATAATGAAGGGGACGTGCCCAGCATCATCAAAGGGATAAAGCTGGGGACATGTCCATAATCATCAGGAGCACAAAGCTGGGGACGTGTTCACCGTTGTTACAGGATGATGATGAGGACATGCACAGCATCATCAGGGGGACAAAGGTGGGGACATGTTCACCATCATCAGCGGGGCAAAGATGGGGACACATCCGCTGTCATCAGGGGGACAGTGCAGGGGACGTGTCCAGCATCGTCAGAGGGAAGAAGTTTGGGACTCGTTCACCATTATCAGGGGGATGAAGCTGGGGACGTGTCCAGCATCATCAGGGCCGTGGGGCAGCCCGAGGAGGTGGCCCTGTCCCCAGGGATGTCCCCCATGTCCCCAACAGACCCATCGTGGACCTGATGGGGACCTCGGAGACGCCATCGGAGCCCTCGGAGCTGGAGCTGGACGACGTGGTCATCACCAACCCCCACATTGAGGCCATCCTGGAGAACGAGGACTGGGTCGAGGACGCCTCGTGAGTGTGTGTCCCCTGTGTCCCCCCACTGCCAGGGACCCCTGTGCAGTGCCGACCCCCCACCATGGGATGCAGGTGGCAGATTTGGGGATCACCAAGGCATGAGGATGGGTGGGAATATCCCCACGGGTCTGGGGGACACGGAGTGTGGGGCTGGCGGGAGAGAGGGGACAAGGATGGAGCGGGGGAGGACACACACCTGGAGTCACACCCTCCTTCCTCTCCACAGGGGTCTGGTGTCCCACTGCATCGCCATCCTGAAGGTGAGTCGGGGTGGCACTGGCGGCAATGGTGGCACTGGTGGTACTGGTGGTGGCAGTGGTGGTACCGGTGACACTGCTGCTGATGGTGGCACCAATGGTAATGGTGGCAGTGGTGACACCAGAAGCACTGGTGGTGATGGTGGCACTGGTGGCAGTGTGGCAGTGGGGGTACCAGTGACACTGGGGGTGATGGTGACATCAGTGGCGCTGGTGGCAATGGTGGGTGGCACTGGTGGTACCAGTAGAACTGGTGGCCAAGGTGACATTGGTGCCAGTGGTGGGTGGCACTGGTGGCAATAGTGGTAATGGTGGCACTGGTGGTGATGGTGGCACTGGTGGTGCTGGTGGTTGGCACTGATGGTACTGGTGGCAATGGTGACCCTGCTGTCCCCAGATCTGTCACACGCTGACAGAGAAGCTGGTGGCCATGACCATGGGCTCGGGTGGCCGCGTGAAGTCCCCTGCCAGCCTGGGTGACATCATCGTGGTGGCCAAGCGCATCAGCCCCAGGTGATGGGGAGTTCTGGGGGTCCCTGGGGTTTTGGGAGGCAAAGGTCCAGGGGCTCGAGGGGGAGACCCCAGTGCTCTGGAGGGTCTGCAGGGATTTGGGAGGGGGAGATTCAGGGGCTCTGGAAGGGTCTCTGGGGCTCAGGGGGTGTCCCAGGGCTCTGGAGGGGGGTGTTCCTGGTGTCCCAGGGCTCTGGGGTTGTTTTAGGAGTCTGGGAGGAGGTCCTGGAGCCCCGGGGGACCCTGGGACTCTGGGGAGGCTGTCCCTGGACTCTGGGGTTATTCTGGGGGCTCTGGGGGGAAGTCCTGAGGGTCAGGAGGGTCCCAGGGCTCAAGGGGAGGTCCTGGGTCTCTGGGAGGGTTCCTGGGGCACAGGATGGGACTCTGGGACTCTGGGGGTGTCCCTGGACTCTGGGTTACTTTTGGGGCTCTAGGGGTAAGTCCTGGGGGTCAGGAGGGTCTCAAGGCTCTGGGAGAGGTCCTGGAGCTCTGGGAGGGGTCCTGTGGCTCACAGGTTGTTTTGAGACTCTGGGAGGAGGTCCTGGGGGTCAGAAGGGTCTCAGGGCTCTCAGGGAGGTCT